CTGGTTGTTGGATGCTTGCCAGTCGTTGTATGACGATGACTAGTTGTTGGATGCTTGCCAGTCGTTGTATGACGATGGCTAGTTGTTGGATGCTTGCCAGTTGTTGTATGACGACGACTAGTTGTTGGATGCTTGCCAGTCGTTGTATGACGATGGCTAGTTGTTGGATGCTTGGCAGTTGTTGTATGCCTCGTTAGATGGGTGGGTTGTCCCCTATGAGTGGTTTGTTTCCCACGAGGATTATAGTGAGAAGTGGATCGGCCAGCAGTTTGAACGATATTAGCGACTTCTACGTGATTTTCGTGGCCTGGAGGTCCAGATTCGTGTGGATTACCATGAGGGTTGGAATCGGGTGAGTGTGGATTACCATGAGGGTTGGAATCGGGTGAGTGTGGATTGCCTTGGTCATTTTGATTTTCTTCAAGGTCTCTTTTTTCGAAATTTGATGCTGAGGTGAAGGTGGCTGCCGCTAATAATAGCGAAACGGTCACCGCTAATGATGGTAACCTCATTATCACTTAATGTGAAAGGATGATATCGGATTTAATGATAGTAAATTATTCTTTTGAAGTCTAGGGTTAAGGACAGAACGAAGAAAGGAGGAGTGGAATTTGAAGGTTTTATAACAATTTTCGAGCATATTAGCAATATATAAAATCTATATAATTTATACAATAATAAATAAAAGAACGAATTGATAAATGTGTAATTTTTAAGATAACACTATTTATATTACTGTTTTTAACACAAAAAAAAAATTATAAACGCGTGAAAGCACATATTTTGACAAGGAATAGTATTTTTATATATTTTAAAGTAATAATTTTGCACAAAATTAATTATATTTTCACTTTTAACGACGTGTAACATAAACAAAATATAACCTTACCAATTAGAGACAACATTTGGTCCGAGTTTTCAATACCTTTGAAAATACAAAGGGAAGATAATGCTACATTGACAAATAGATATTAATTTATATTGTTCCACATAGTTCGGTACAAGTTCGTTTAAAAATTAAAAAAAAATTAGAAAATTGGAAATTTACCATTGTACCTGTAGTATGATAAGTTTTCCGGGGATATGCAAGTATATAACCTAGCATACATGTACATGTGTTACCAAGGATCAACAAGAATTAACTTGTTGCCCATAATTTCAAATATTGAATACGAACGTGGAGAGGATTTGTTTTTATCCTAGATAATCGTATAAGATCAAAAGTGGTAATAACATGTATTGATTTTATGGTAAGAAAAAAATTATTTAGATTGAATACGATTTATTAATTAAAATATTTACAGTATGACAAATTTAATTATAGCATTCGCTATAACGATAATTAATTGATTAATTGATTAATTACAAGATTTTATTAACATTATCAATATTTACAATATTTACAATATTTATGAATCACTCTGTACAATCGATCTAAATGTTTTATTGTAAACTTTTATAAAAGTAAATCGTTCTTTAAATAGAATTCTTAACAGATATCTTAACAGCTATGTTAACAGATATCTTAACAGCTATGTTAACAGATATCTTAATGTATATGTAAATGTTAGACTTTATTTTTGCCGTAGCAATAAAACAGACATCTTGATGAATATATGTATATATAAAAAATTATACTTTTTTTTTTTTTGTCGTAGCAATGCCGTAACTCTCTGGTTATATCGACGTTTTTGAGACATTAGTAAAAGTTTTCAAAATGTCGATACAGTGAGTCATACCGACATTTTATATTAAATTTTTTTAAAAAAATGTCGGTATAGAAAGATTTTTCTATTATGTCGTTATATCCAGATGTCGGTATAACCAGAGTGACATGTATTATGTGTATTCCCTGCATTTACTGCATATTCTTTTCCTAAGTCTTTTAAAGCTAAGACCATTATTTAAAGTTTATAAACAGTGCAGCTTGCCAAGGCCATTAGAGAGCTTAATCGATATATTAACTGTCTGCAAACTGCAAAGAAAATCATTAAATTTAATAATTAAATTTTAGCATGTCCTTATTTCTCCGATACGCATATGTTTAATGTTTCATGTGCTGATTGACAATGTGCTTTTAATAATCATTAGCGTTAGATCGTTTACATTACTACGCGTTAGATTATTTACATAATTATGTGAAGGCACAATTTATACAAGAGTACTTATGAAATATTTTTAACTAATTAAATAAATTGCCAATTTGATAATTAAGTGAAAATAAATGAAATATGAGTAGATTTTTAACAATTATATATTGTTAAAAAAGGTTATGCCAATAATTTACAGAGATTAATATATGTTCATTTAAACAGAATGCTATGCTATCTTACTTGACTTCTATTAACCAAATAACGAAATTCAAAGAAAAAGCTTAGCATGTTAAATTTTGTGACGTATATCATAAACTTCTTTTGTTATATCATATTATCATATAATTAACAATTTTATTTAACATATTTAATAACGGCCAATTGGAAAAATTTAATTAGTATTATGAAATGTAAGACTTTATTAACTTAAAAGGCACTCAAGAACTATGTCATTTCCAATGATTTAAGAATATATCGAATTGAATTTTATTGTGTTATAGTTATTTGAAATACCAATCCGTTATGCAGTGTAAATATTATTATAATATCGCATGTTATTGAGTTCTTCTACATAGATTTTTCTATTCATTTTATGATTGGTTTATAATATATTAATTACCATGTCTTGGCGCAAACAATACATCAATTCGATTCACAATGTTACACGAATGCCTTAACAGATTTTCCTAACGATAAACCTGAAAGTAACCAAATGTTCAGTAATTATTAGAAGAATTATAGACCATTATATGTAAAGTTATTATTATCATCACCTTTAGAGTCACAATGTCGATTTACTTGCTTTCTCCTTCGTACTTTCGGACTTCTCCAAAATTTGTATTTTTTGATTTATTGCACACCTTTATGGTAATTGTAATTGTTTGATGCAATGCAAAGTAAATAATCATGTATATTAAAGGGACATGCCTTGCTAGCAAATTTTAATAGTAAACATAAGACGCCTCTTTTAATTATCAAAAGTACAAAGTTTACAAAATTTTACAATCATTCTTTTCTTACTACAAAAAGATTCGAAAATGTATCTGTGCAACCGTATGGAATTTTCATCATGTGACTCTTCTAATACAGTAGTTGATGATTAAACCCAATTTCAGATAGAAAAGAATCCTAAAATTAAAAACATTGGCCCGAACCCGAGTTAAAAAAACTGTGTTTATCATAGAAACACCTGAACCTGACACAGATCATGGGTATTGGTAAACGGAAACGCTAGAGTTATCGATCTTTACTGTTGTTGTAAACTGGATATTATTGTCGTGTAACCGCAAGTGCGTTTATGTAGCAATAGATCACTAGATTGTGCAATAACGATAGATTGAAAATGAATTGAATTTACAAATTAAATCAATATGTTATATGCAACTAAAATAACTGGTCCAAAGTCTGTCAACATATGTGCCTAAATAATATAAATTTATAAAAAAAAATTCTTTTTATCTTTATTTCTGTTACAAGTTAAATGAATAAGCTGATTCGAAACTTAAATCTTTTATTAATTTAAAATAGTCCTATTAGTGCTGAGACCCAGAAGTAGTGTTTGATACGGTTTGATTGTTCATGCGGTGAAAGATCACTTGATAAGATTACGAATATAAACGATGAACTAACGTAAAATACGTATAATATTAACATGGTCAAGTTAAATTTTTGGGAGGTTTCAAAGGATTCCGTAAAATAGGCCGTTAGTCAGCCACATAGCTGAGCTGGTTTAGCTAACAAAGCCATGTGAGTTGAAAAACTACTTATAATAGTCATGTGACTCTTGACTTTGCCCCAAGTTCCCATAGTACCACAAACTTTCATTTTTGATATTCTCGCATCTACATTTTATACTAATATCATGTTCCAATCAACAAGATTAATGTTTGAATTCTGTTTGCACAATAAATATTGAGAAACACAAGCTACGCGCGTACCGGACCCATATTTGTGCATAATAAAGTGGATGGGACGCCATTTTGAATTTTCCATTTTTTGAAACTTGCATATTTGGATAATATTGTGTATTTGTTACTCAAATATATTATATAATAAAAGTGTTGAAATATATGAAATATCACACACTTGTGCGTCCTTAAATAACGCACAGATAATGTGAAATGCGTGTTATTAATTTATTTATTTTGCAGACAACTGATAAATTTTTTTTTTTAAAAAAAAAAAATCTTAAGAGGTTAATAGCAAATTTAATAATAAAATCATAGGAAGTAAATATAGTTTTCCATGGAGTTGGAATGCAGCTAACTTACGATAAAAAGTCTTTTTTTTTAGCAAATAAATCTCAAATTATTGTGATTCTAAGAGTAGTAAAATTATTGAAATCAGTTTAGTAGATCGCGGGTTATTTGCATTTTCTTCTTTATGACTACATGACTTTTAAATATTATTACGTAGAAACGTATGCCATTCCAACATTATACGTAGTAATAGTAATTCTTCGTTTACTGTTATATGAATTTTATACCCTTCAACTGCGATCTACCACTTCGGTCCCGCTTATTTCATCGACACTCATTTCCTAGACACAACACTTCATCGACATTCATTTCGTAGACAACACTTCACCGACAATCAACTCACAGACTTGTTCATTCACTGACACTTAATTCAACGACAATTAATTCGTCGACATTTTCATTTCACCGACAAAGTAATTATATCAGAATTATGTTTAAGGTTATTGCAAGCTATAAACCTTTCAGTGAATTAAGCTTGTCGGTGAATTGAGTATCGGTGAATAAAGAAAGCTTTCCACATAATAAATATTCTAAATACATCCGCTGTTCGTCTAATAAATGATTCGAAAATATTCGTGTCTGCATAGTATTTACGTAAATAAATTTTTTTTGTCAATATCGAATTCAGTGAAGGGATTTAAACACACACATTTATATCACAGAATAACATAACATAACCGTTATTTGTTTTACCAGAATTAAATTGACTGGCCTAAACTAATCTAGGCCGAGTGCTTGTCCTGTGAAATGTGATGATCACTGAGTTAGTGTTGTGATTCGCATGTTTAATTTTGGAGGTGCGACCTTATCAATCTTTGTTCTTTCATTATTCTTTGTAAGCGTACATTTTCCCCTAATTTTGATAATATGACAAGAGAAAATCATTATCGAAAATATCAGTAAGCACAAGTAAAACTATAAACCTTTTCCAAATATATTATGTTAGAAAACCCTTATCGGATAATGCCTTTTTTTACTATTTTCTAAAGGTTTTTGGTTAATTATTTATAGTAATTATAACGCAAGTATTCCAGATATAATTTAATAATAGGTTTTCTTATCAGTTATTTCAAGTATAATTTTATGAATTCTTTTAGAAAATAGTTGTAATAGATTTAATAGATTGAGGTATTCTGATAGTTTTTTAGGAATTTCTATCGA